GAATTTATTAAGTTAAATAATTACCCAACTGATAAGAGACTATAATTACATATATATACATATATATGTGTATATATATTATATATGTATATATATACAGTTTTCAGTGAAATCCAAGCTATCAGCAGCCTTATGAAAAACTGTTTCGAATCACTACTGATTAGAGAAATATAGATTTAGGGGCAGCTAGGTGGTACAGTGGACAGAGCACTGGGCATGGAGTCAGGAGGACCTGAATTCATATCCAGCCTTAGACCAAACACTTGATGCTTACTAGCTGTATGACCCTGGGCAAGTCACTTAACCCCAGTTGCCTAAAAAAATTAAAAAAGAAATATAAATTTAAACTACTCTATTTCACACCCATGACATTGGCAAAGAATAACAAAAAAAGTAAAATGACAGATGTTGGAAGGGCTGTGGGAAAATGTATATTAGTGCCCTGTTAGGGGCTATAAATCAGTGCAGCCATTCTGGAGAACAATATGGAAGAATGCATTTAAAAAGTCACTAAACTGCATTACCTTTGACCTAGTAGTATATTTTCTAACCCTGTACCCCAAAAAGATGAAAGAAAGAGGAAAAGAACACAAATGTTCACAAATATTTATAGTACCCCTTTTCATGGTGACAGAACTGGAAACTAAAGGGGTGTCCATCAATTGGGGAACAAGTGAACAAATTATGATAAATGAATAGAATAGAATATTGTTATATTCCAAGGCAGTTGGGGGCCTAATGGATAAAGAGCTAGACCTGGAGCCAGGAAGCTCAGGGTTCATCTCCAGCATCAGACACTTAGTAGCTCAGTGACCCTAGGCAAGTAACTGATCTACCTCAGTCTCCTAATCTGTAAAATGAGGATAACACCTACCTCTCAGGATGATAAAATGAGATCATATTTGTGAAGAGCTTTGCTAAGCTCTTAGTGTTATAGAAATACTAGCTATAATTATTACTATTGTGCTGTAAAAAATGATGAAGCAGCTGGTTTTTGAGAAACCTGGGAAGTATAAACTGATCCAGATCCAGGAGAATTTCTATAATATCAACAACATTTTAAAGACTTAACAACTTTGAAAAACTTGAGGACTCTGATTAATGCAGTGACCAGCCATGATTCCAGGAGACCAATGATGAAGCATGCTGCCCATAAAATAAATGCTTGTTAGTTAAAAAATAAAAATTGCCTTACTCCATTCCCCACCCCACCCTCCAAAAGAGAGAGAACTTCAAGCTCTCTCTAAGGTTTCTTGGGACTGATTATAGAGGAGCTTCTTGTCCTAGTATCAATTGGACTAGATCATCTCCAAGGGTTCCTTCCAGCTCTGACTTTCAGTGATTGGCCCATGGACACAGGTGGTAAGTGTCCCAAATGGGATTTGAACTCAGGGTATTCCCTCCTGACTCCAAGCGTAATGCTCTAGCTACTGTTCAAGGTAGTTCTCTGTACTACCAGCTCTCAGTTCTATGCCTGGCTAGCTCCTATGTGATGATGGCTCACCAGGGTTGGGATTAGGGTTAGTCCCAATTCCCTGCAAGGGCCCCGGGTTCATGAAGAGCTGTGGAACTCAGGAGTGGCCACTAGAGGGAGCAGAAAGGCCAATACCCTGTCCGAGGCAGGCAGCTCCCCAGTTTGCCAGCCTTCTAGTGTTACCTACTGTGTAAGGGATCTTCCAGCCTTCCAGTGCTCTAAATTTTATGAAAGAGTGTGTGTGTGTTTGTGTGTGTGTGTTATATGCATATACACACAGACACATTAAAATGTCAGAAATTCAGTATGGCATAAATACAGAGGCTGGATAGAGGGCCAACCTTGGAGTCAGGAACACCTAGATTTAAGTTCTGGCTCAATGAATTCCAGCTCTGTGACACTTGGCAAGTCACTTAATCCCTATGTGCCCCCTAGGAAACTGTCTAAATCTATAAAGTTACACACTGAATTGCTGATCTGCATTAGTAGAAGGAATGTTTCATACCAGGAGTTCCCTATACCAATGCAATCCAAGGTCCAGACCAGAATCAAACAACAATTTAACATCCCAGGCTTTTCCCACAGAAGGCTAGAGTGTCTCGCTAAGATAAGGGTACAGACCTTAAAGTACCCTATAAATACTGGCTGTCAATATGGAAAGGGAGCCAGCTGGTTGAAGGAGGCCCTGAAGAAATGAACCCCAGTCTATCTGAGAAAGGGAAAGAGACTAAAGAGAGGCCCATGGCTGGCTCTGGAAACACTTGGCTTGGCTTTTTTGTGCCAGGTGATTGGGCACCTGTGGGGGGGGAGTGTCCTCTGAATCCTTGGTGCCTCCTGGGGTCCTTTAAGAAAGCTGAAGGCCTAGTGTGCCTTGGTGAGGCAGGGAGCAGGCTGGGGCATGGCCAGGAAGAGCTGACAGAAGGGGAAGGGGTAAAGGCAGATTGTTGCTCAATCAGAGCTCCTCCTCCTCCAGGTTTTGGAAGAGGAGGGCCTATGGTGAAGAGGGAAGGTGAGCCAGGATCATTCATGCCTGAAATCTGACCCCTCCCCCCATTCCCAACGACCTTGGGCTCCACATCAGCCCCCAGCTGTGGCCCCAGGCCCTGCCTTGCTTCTAGCCCAAGGCAAGAGTTGGAGATCTAGCCATGGATCCCAGGTTCAGGTCCATTGGGCATCCAACTCCTTCCTCCACCCCTCCCCAGGACCTGACCCACCACTACTCCCAGCCCCACCCACCTTCTGCCTCCCCAGCCTGGGAAGCTCCCCAGGTGGCACATGAGAATTATTTGTTCCCCAGAGCAGAGATAATCTCTTCATCAGAAACTGCTTGTGGTGGGGGGTGGCACTGCCCTGAGTGCTCAGTAACACCCCAGCTTGTGAGGCCCATTCTGTTTTTCTTGGTACAGAAAAGAAAGAAACAAAATTCTGCAAAGCAGCCACTCTCCACACTTTGCCCGCTTGTCCATGTGCCTCAGTCTGACCACCAGGCACTGCACCCCTATCTGAAGTCCTTAGAGTTGTGCCAGGGCATCCCCAGTGTTTGCAGCGAGTGGATAACATGGGCATTGCAAACCTCTTTGCATACATTCTCTCACTTGACTCTCACCAGAAACCTTGTGAGAAGAGTACTTGGGGATTTTTAGTATTTCCATTTTTACAGCCCAGGAAACTGAAGCTCAGGTCAAATGACTTGACATTGCCCTCTCAGGAAATTTTAAAGTGGAAAGGAAACTCTAGGTCCCAAACCCAGCTCTGCCACTGACTGCCTCGGGAAGGGCAGATTTTGACCAAATCCCTTCCTCTTTCTGGGCCTGTTTTCTCATCTGTACGATGAAGAGATTGGGCTAGATGATCTCTAGGGTCCCCTGCCCTGAATCCAATGCCTGGTCCATGGTAGGCATTAAAGTACATGCCTAGTAATTGATTGCCCTAGGAGAGAACCGAAGCTCAGAGAAGTTGATTCACGTAGTGGGGGCCCTTGCTCCAACCCAGATCTTCTAGTCTTCCATTCAGTATTCTTTTCACCATACTTTATGGCATTCCTGGGGAAGTACCTGGGGAAGCTACAGGGCCATCTGGGTCCCTGGGGCCTGGGCCCTCCCCTAACTGGTAAACAGAAATCATCAGCTGCCATTTCCTGGGCCCCCACGTGATTATAAAAGTGTGGGTATTTGGTGGCAGGGGAGGGGATCATAGATCCAAAAGGGCCCTCAGAGACCATCTAGTCCAGTGGTGTCAAATTCAGGTAGAAATTGATCCCTAAAAAAAGAAAAAGAAATAGATCCCTGCGGGTTGTAAGCAGGCCCAGGTGGAGAAGTGGACATGCCTCTGTCTAGGCCATCTCTTTCATGCTACCAGAGACCAGACCTGGGATTTCAGTGGTATAGGGGGCTTCCTTTGCTCATGCACATCACCACCTGCTCTCCAACTTCTGGTCTTAGAGAGGTGCCTGGGGCAGTCAGAGGTGCCATCATGTGCCAGAGGCAGGCCTTAGACTCAGGTCTTCCTGACTTCGAGGCTGGCTCTTTTCCTACCACACCCTGCTACTGGAAGGAACCTCAGAAGCCAGCATGATTGTTCAACAGCCTTTAGGAGCCTTAGAGCCCAAACCCTTCTAATGCAGGGGAATGAGAAGTCAGAGGAGGAGGGTTTAAATCCCAGCACTACTATTTAGGTCCCATGTGCCCCTGGGCAAGTCATTTCCCCTCATTGCTCAGTGGAATCCAATTGCCTTTCCAGATACCTACTGGCACAGAGTGGAGAAACACCCCCCCTCAGCACCTCAAGAGGAAAGGAAGTGTCTCTTTCTCTACCAGAAAGGACTTTTCTGTTGGTCTTCTGCCCTAGGCCTAAGCTCTCCATCTGTAAAATGGGCCCACTAACAAGAGTTTTCAGCTAGGGCAGGCTTAGAAAAGTACCTGTGGAAGTCTCAGGCTCAAAGTGAGACCAGATAAATGAGCTCAGGGGATGAGTGGGGGGTCATTCCTCTCCTTTTCTGGGCTGCTTTCAGAGCTCCTGGCCCTGACCCGGGAAGGACCCTGTTCTGAAGGGTCCACTCTGCCCCCTCCCCTCAGGTGATGGAGAGGTGAGCAGAAAAGGGACCTGGCCCCACAAGGTTGACTTTTCAAACAAGCCTCTGGGGCTCTGATGAGTAGCTGGGGTCGCTCTGAGAGGGGCTGGCATGGGAGAGAGCCTGGCAAGCTGCTGCCCCCTGCCAGGGGAATGGAGAGGGAGTAAATCCCTCCTCCAGGAGAGAAGAGAGGAGGATGGGGGCCAGGGAAAGGAGGTGGCTGGGGCCAGAGGGAGGGCAGTAGAGCAGGCAGGTGAGGTGGTGTGTGTGTGTGTTGTGTGAAGAGAAACCTGTTTGTTCCCCTGAAGGGCACAAGACACCCAACCTTCTGCTCCCAGACAGTTCCGCTCTCCTGAGTGTCTCCTTTCTCTCTGTTCAGGCAGGAAACTATCCCAGGTGACTCCGAGGACGCAGCCCCAAGCTAGCTCTTTCTTTGGAGGGAGCCAGCAGAACCCAGAAGATTCTGTCACTTTCGGAGTGGCAGTCAGGCTTCTGAACCCCAGCAGAGACTCGAGAGCATTAGCAGGTAAGACTGGCTAAGCATCTAGCCCCTGGCAGGGGGTGGGATCAGGAGACAGATTGGGGGGGGAGGCAGAGAGCACACCTGTTTTGGAGTTAGGAGATCTGAGCTTTAGTCCTAGCTCTACCACTCACTTACTGTGTGACCCTAAGTCCCCTCATGTATCTGAGCCTCACCTTCCCCATCTGTAAAGCTAGGGGATTGGACAAAATGATCTCACAGGTCTAGTCCGATTTTAACATTATGGAAGCCTTAAGATGTATTCTAGTAGCATGGTCTAGTGGGAGGAATTCTGAGATTGGCATCAGATGACCCGAGTTCAAGTTCTATGCCTCTTTTAATACCTGTGTGACTTTGAGCAAGTCAGTGAACTTCTCTGGGCCTCTGCCTCAGGGAGAGGGGTGGGAGGAGCTAAAAGGGCCCCATTCTACACTTCTGTTCCTATAATTATCATTCAACAATGATGAAATAGCCTGACTTTTAGACTCAATCAGTTGGCTCCTTTCCTGGCTATTGTCATCTGTATCCTCACTCATTCTTGAAGAGAGAGAAGAATTTTTTTGTGCTTGGTCTGACCGTGCTTTGTCAGCCTGTGTGACTCAGGCCCCAGGAAGCTGTTCTGAGAGTCCAAGGCTCTGAGTAGGACTTGATATCGTAAGTGATTGTGAATCTCGTGGGATGACCTCAGGAGGTCTGAAGAGCAGAGACTCTGGGTAAAGCAGTACAAGGTTGCTGCTGGTAGTGCTGGTGGTGCTGGTATTGGTATTCTGTGTTTTCTCATCAATAGACAGGAGAAGCTAGAATGACTTTGGGGAGGAAGAACACGCAGGATAGGCCCCTTGTGAGGAAGGAGGAGGTGTGGAGCACGGAGCCCCTCAACTTGGGGCTCCAGGATGGGCTTCTCTTCTCACTCACTAGTCAGACAGAAGCTTTGGGCTGGCCCTAGCTCAGCCTTGGCTCCACAAAGCTGGCTGTGCTCTTATCTCCTTGGCGAAGAGGGAGGCAGGGCCAGCCTTGATGAAAGGGAGCTGAATTCCTAGCCTGGGCCAGCTTTCCAGCCTCGAACGTAAAGAAGCAGTGGGGTGAGGGAGGCTCAGTGGGGCCCCTTCATGTCTCTCACACTCCAAGAGCGTCTGCCAGGCACCAGAGATCCACTGGGCCAGGGCACAGGGCCTGGCATTCCTAACTGTGGACTCGATTCTTGGTGGCAGCCTGGTTTGTGGGGAGCAGTGGCACATAGTGGAAATTGAAGCAGGCTGGGAGACGGAAGATTAGGAGCTAGACCTGGCTGTCCATTGAAGTCAGTGGGTGACCCTGGGTAAGTTCCTTCTCTTCTCTGGGTCTCAGTTTCCCCAGCTAGCCCTCTAGAACCCCTTCCAGCTCCTAATCCTGAGTCTCTGCCTCATGGTCTGTCTGGAATCATTCCTAACATCAGGCCACAAAAAAAGGAAGGCAGTGTGGTTCAGGGGAAGGAGTGCTATATTTGGGGCCAGAGGACTTGAGGCCAGGCTCAGATAGGCTACTATGGGCATATCCCTTTACCTCAGTGTCCCCTTTTGTAAAATGGAGGCTGGACTAGATAACCTCTAAGGCCCCTCCTAGCTCTGGATCCCCTATAAACTTGCCCTGGGAAGTGACTCTTTGCACAGGGTCCAGGAGGAGCTAGGTGCCATAAGGGCTAGAGTGCTAGATTTGGAGTCAGGAAGACCTGTTTGAATCCTGCCTTAGACATTTGGGACCCTGGGCATGTCACTTAAATTCTCTCAGCCTCAGTTTCTTAACCTGTAAAATGGGGCTAATAATACCCCCTACCTCCCAGGATTGTTACAAAAATCAATATGTTAAGTATTTTGCAAACCTTAAAGTGGCACATAAAATTTATTACTATTATTGTTATCATGATGATGCCCAGTCTCTACACTTTCTTCCTTATCCCCTCTCCTTCTCTCTGTAAAGTTGGAATTCCCTTCACCCTCCCAAACCTTTGGAACTTTGGGATGGAACAGGGGAAAGGACTCTGGCCTGTGTCAAGAGACTCCTATGTTAACTCAGTGTGATCTTGGACAGGGCCCTTCTTCCTGAGCCTTGGTTTCCCCCGTTTGTCAAAGGATGTGGGCCTAGAAGAGTACTTCCAGCTGCCAACATTCTATGACTTCTAAAGTTGATGCCCAAGTTAGTGTAGACTAAGTATTCCGCCTAATGGGTCTGGGATTGTGCACAGGACTCCAGCCTCCAGGTCCTGGCTCAGAGATAAGCATCCCCTTGGGGCTTTTGCCCTGGCTGTGTGTGTGTTGGGAGAGGGTGTTCGGGTGACTGCCCAGATATTAGCATCCAGCCCCACCTCCCAGGAGCACCTTCCCCATCCCCGCCTTGGCAGCGTGAAGGTGGCCACAAGGAAAGGGCCACCTGCCGGCCCCTTCTCCTTCTGCCTTGGAAGAGTGTCAGTAACGCCGCTGTCCCGCCAGCCTATAATCAGAATAGCTGCCGTTTATCTAATGCCTTTAGGTTTGCCAGCCACTCGAGGATTGTGGCTTCAAAGGGGGAAGGGCTTTCAGAGGTTGCCCCCTGTTTTACAGATGAGCAATCTGAGGCCCAGAACAGTTTGGCGACTTGCCTGAGGTCACAAAGCTAGTTAGTGGAAGAGATGGCCTTCAAGCCCCAACATACTCCAGATGCTCTGCTACCTCCCTCTATACCTTCTCACGGAGCCTCAGAAGATTCCTCAAGGTTTAATCCCTTGCCTCCCCAGCCAGCTCACTCCCACATCCAAGGCTGTAACCATCACACACAGAGCAAATGAAGAGTAACAGTAGGAGTGAGGGGGGAGCCCTAATCCTTGGAGGGGGGGATACAGGAATGGCCCCTTGGAGAAAGTGGCACCAGTACAAAGGCAGGGATCCTGCAGAGGATGAGACAAGGAAGGAAATACATTCCAAGCAAACGCACGGAAGCCAAAGATGGGCTGGTTACATACTGGCAACAGAAAAGGGTCCTCTCTACAGTAGTTTGGGGGAGAGATTCTCAAGCGACCCCTGGGTGCTCTCTGGAGCCTCTTCATGTTGCCCGGAGGAGAACCCTGGGTTTGGAGCCTGCCTCTCTTCTCTGCCACCTGTGAATCTCTGCCCCTCTGGGCCTCCACATATGCTCATCTGTAAGATGAGAGGTTAAACCCGCTGACTGTAAATGTGCCTTCTGGCTGTGAAGCCTGTGACTTTTCTCACTAGCTACCCTCTGTGAGGTCCCAGAGAAGGATGTGGGGGTGAGGGGGCCATGTAAGCCATGGAATCCTGATCTCCCACACACACACACACCCCTTGCCTTCATTATTCTCCATCCAAGCCAAACCGACAGTAGGACTTGTTCCCGGGCTGGGCATGGCATGTTGTGTCTGACTCCAAGCCTTCCCTGCTATTTGTCTCTCCCCTCTCCCATCCTTCCCCCAGGTTTATCACTCTTTAACTCCTGAAGTCATTTTGTCTTACCTGTCCACATATCATATCCTCCTTGAGAGCAGAGAAGGTTTCTTTCTTGTTTTTGTTTACACAAAACTCTGGAATGTTTGAAGCATAGTAGGCACTTAATAGATATCATGTCAGTTGAATGTAATTGAGACAGTGGCGCTTTCACGGCAGCTGGAAAGGATAGAGAAGTCAGCTTTCCTAAGACCATTAGGAGCTCTGAACTATGGTACCAGTTCTGCCACTGATGAGCTGAGTGACCTTGGACAAGTCATTTCCCCTTTTGGACCCTCCTTTCTCCATGGGTGAAAGGAGGTGGAGTAGGCCTAGACAATCTCTATTTTTCCTAGCTCATACTGGGACTAGGAACTTTAGGGTCCCAAGGCTGTAGTGTCCTCCCCTGGTCAAGATGACTCTCTGCGCTCCCAGCTTCCGATGGCTCTTCCCGGTCCATGGAGCTTCCCTTTCCCAGCTCCGTTTGGGGGCTGGAGTTTGGGAGGGATGTCATAGAGAATGAGGCACAGGAGCCCCCCAGGGCGAAAACAGCAGCCGCTCTTAAAAGGGACAGTTCTCCACGGGGTACCAAAGAGACTGGCAAGAGACCGTTTCCAGAGAAGAGGGTGGCTGTTCTTTGTGTTCCCCAGGTAGAGGATATGCAGGGGAGCTTCCCTCCAATGGACTATCTCATTGTCCTTCAACCCATGAAAAAGCATTCACTGAGGACCTACTGTGCACTGTATTAGGGGGAATACCAAGTTTCAATAAGGTCTGTTTCCTGTCCTCATCAAATTTATAGTTAATGTTATTAAGTACCTCTGATGTGCCAGGCACTGTTAGGTGCAGGGATACAAAGGCAGGCTGCCCTTGCAGAGTGTGTATTCTTGGTGGAATTTAAGCCCTGGAGCCTTCTCTTCACCCATACCTGCCACCCTATTTTCTCAGGTCTCTTGGTGCCCACCTGGGAGGTACTCAGGAGTCCTGCCTGACACCCAGGGGCAATGCACTGGAGTTCTGGGTTCCAAATGTCCATAGACCAACTGGCCTATACAAGAACCTCAGGCCAACTAGTGAACTAGAAAGAATGAAGGGAAGAGGCCTACTTCATCTAGGTAGGAGGGAAAAGTGCATCATAATGAGTTATCTCAAAGTGGGGGAATATGCCGATATATATTTACTTTGTAAATATAGAACACTAGGCCTGGAATCAGGAGAACCTGAATTCATATCTAGCTTCAGATGCTTACTAGTTGTGTGACCCTGGCCAAGTCACAACTTCTGCCTCAGTTTCCTTATCTGTAAAATGGGGGTCATAATAGCACCTACCTCTAAGGCTTATTATGAGGATCAAATGAAATAATAATTCTAATTAGCACAGTGCCTGGCACATAGTAGGCACTATATAAATATTAGCTATTATCTCAGAATGATGTTTTTAAGTACGCAATATAAAGTATATATTATTAGAAGGGAAACAAAAAATAAATAAATGCTAACTCTCACTATTCTTATAAAGTTGCCCATCATCACCTAGGAGCAGTTATTCAAGTA